ATATTATATAGCCAATATTTGCTGCCAACATTTTTTTTGAATGGTTGAACTGACATGACTATTATATTATTATTTATAATATTGATCATTGTAAATCAAATACAACATGTATGCTAAGCTGTTGTCAGTTTAATGAAAACCCAGACCGTGAACATAATTTATACCAAGCTATTTCAGTGATTTTGAACATTAAAATCAATTTCTACGAACATACACCAGTGTCTGTCCAGCTACAAATCAGGGCAGGTGTCATCTTTATGGAGTTGGTCCTTTGACACTTCATTAGGCCTCTATGGCTTCCTGGAAATTTGTTTGAGGTATGACAGCCCTTACAGATGTGAAACAAATAATATCACTGTGATGGTGTTTTTACTGTTTATGGTGCAGTTTTACAAGATCATTACCTCACGTGGCTTCCATTAACCCAAACATATTCAAATGCATATCTTATGTAAATCATCAAAGGAGGAGTCCATAGAAAGCAACACAGTAATGGTTTGTGAATGAAAGTATGGATTAGCATACAGATGTACTCTTGTGTATATATTTCTTCTATACATAGTGTTTGTATTTAAACATGTCTTAAGATGAATTCAATCTAAAAAACACTCATATATGACACCAAGCTGCATAATATAATATGTATCATGGTATGAATTACATTTTAGAAGGGATTCAACATTGAAATGGAGAAAAATGAGAGAATATATGTTTTATATAACTGTGGGCATGTCAATATGTTTAGTGCTGCCACACTCATTTTTCCACCCCACGCTCTCAAGGTGATCCGTATATATTCGGGACCTAATTTGAGGAAACAGCACATAAATGCAAATTAATGTAGCTGTATGCATGGTGCGATAGCCATGGGAAATAAATTCTGTATTTAGAATAAGCCAAAGCTGTCCCTTTGGTGAACAGTATTTATTATGCTGTAATGAAAAAGTAGAAACTGAAATCACTCTCATTTAGCAAAAGGCACCAGGGATTCCTGGGGTTTATTTTGTAAAGCCTTACCTGAGTTTGCGTGATAGGCTGTATCTTTTTTTCCTTTGGGGCAGATTACTAAAAGTGTCTACCTGTTGTTTGGTGTTGATAAAAGAAGATGAAAGGTACAGGCGACTTTGTCCCAGGGTGTAGAGGCATGCATCTTGCTTTTTTTTCCTTTACTCGCTCCACGGCCTAAATTAAATTGGACAGCTGATCCTCCAGAGGGAGTAGTTCCAGGGTTTGATTTAACATTATATAAAAAGCAGCAACATTAATTATCCAGCTGGAGTTGACCTTCAGTTTGATGTGCACACGTAAACGTCACTTCACGCATACACACAGGCACGAACAACGCAACACAAAAATCCGCTGCATCCCGAGGAGGATAGGCCAAAGCGTCCTCGCCGTACTGCCCTCGCAAATAGCCAGACCTGCCCTCGCACGCGCACAATGTGCCCACAGGGCGTGCTCATCTGTCAAGGAGGCGACATCTTCCGATGAATTATGGGAGATGGTTGTCATCTTCTCCGGGGTCACGTACGAAATGGCGAAGCCGGTCTGTTGGCTCCCTCGCCTCACGCTATCACACGTCAGCCATTTTAGAGGTTGAAAGCCTCAACGGGGGACCGAAACGACCTCAATTAAACCTCCATTAATATTAATACATTTTGTCGTTTCACGTGAGTTGCCGCTAATTAAATGTGTCCCTGACTGTATAATGGGGGTCAGCCGGGGTCTTCTACATGAAGCTAATTCACCACCTTACAGCCGCACGACACTGGGCTGGTCTGGACTCAAAGCGTTAATACAGACGTCGCAGTCTCGAGTCCCTTGGTGTTTGTAACAGTTAACACCTATTCAGCAGAAGGAGAGCTTTTTAATTGGGATCAGGCACTTTTTTTATTTAACGATTTATGATTTTTATTTCTACGCCGTGTGCACGTGTCGCTGCTCGAGCATAAAGGGAATGTACCAGACTTGTGTTTGTCGCTGACGCAGGGTTTGTATCCCGCTGCATTTCTCCAACATCAACACGCATGTGGACTGAAGTCTTTTAACATCAAGACTTTTATGCGGAGGTTAATACGTTTGCAGCAGATCAGCTCTTTATGAGCTCTTGGCCCACAGCTCCGCACACACACACAAACATAATAAACAAACCATAATGGGATTGTGGGATTCCTCCGATTCTACTCCCACTGGTGTCAGTCCGTACCAGCTCCAGAGCCGAGTGCTGCCTGGGAGGTTGGATTTGTCTGATCTATCCTTAATATCATGAGAGATGATTTGGTGTTGACCCGGAGGTTAGGCAAACCTGGAGTGGGAGGTCAGATAACGGCCCCAGTTGTCCAATTTAATCAGATTTATTTTTAGTGCTGAAGGAAAAATGTGCACTCCCACACTGGATTCAGCTCTCTCAGTGTCCGGTGTGTTTAATTCTTTTGACAAAACACGGTATTGAAATTCTGCAAATTATTTTGTGTATAGAGATTCATCCACATTCATTGTTAATCTAATCCATGCCACCTCTGGAAACGACTCAACCAGAGACAGGGGACCGAGCTCCAGAGTGACCAGTGCCAATCCTCCAGACCTACAATAGCCTGGCTCTCGTGCGTGTGAGGGAAGCACTCGATATGAACTTATCTGCACAATCCCAAGCTGAACGTAAGCGATAATAACGTCACTGTCTTTGTCTGCATGAAAGCAGCACAGGACCGGCAACGAGGAGCTGCGTCCAGTTTGACCTCCTAACAATGGACGGCAGCCAGAACTCATACAATCACTCGGAGCCGGACACTGCAGGAGAGAGCAGGCACTTTCTCTCCAACGCTCGCATGCACATCATGTTTCCCCAAAACAAAAGCCGTCCAGTCCTCTGCAGTAGCTGAGCCGTTATTGTTTGTTTAGTCCAGCTGCACTTGAAAGGACAGCGACCCAGAGCCATGGGGAGGATTAAAGACTGCGTTCAGTCCAGTACACCATGGTCCAGCTGCCAGAGAGGCTTTACCCCTTCTCTCCTGCTGCCCCTCATTCTCTTTTCATACGTCAGCCACAAAAAAAACGCCCTCTCTTCCTTCCTGTCTTACACGAAGGCCCTCTCTGATTCCTCATGTCTCGTACACTCGCGCCCTCCCCAATGCCCTCTGATCTCCCTCCAGCCGATGGCCTCTGCATGTCGCCAGGAAAATTCTTATTATTTTTTTATGCCCGGCCTTGAAGGGGTCAAAGTTGAAAGTTACCCGACTGCTCCATCTCTTTTTTGCGTGCTCATCTAACAGCAGAGAACGATATTTATAATCTCCCTGCAGCCTCCGTCCCCGACTAGACTACCTGCCGTAGTAGGAAGAGGCATATTTGTGTGCTCATACATGAGTTAGGCAGGCCCGAGCGCCTGCAGACTGAATTAGGCTGTAGATCACTGTTGACAGAGCGCAGGCGGTCATTGGGGTGGGATTTTTTATGGGTTCACTCTGGTTAGTGTAGGTAAGTGGTAGAAATGTCCTCTATGGCTTGACCTGTAGACGGGGGCGTAGAAAACTGGTAGGCAAATTGTCCAAAAAAGACCTTACTGAGGGTTTATTAAATATATTCTCTGGAATATGTGGTACGGTTCTACTTAAGAATCTTTGATGTATTTTTTCATCTAAAAAGTAGTCAATGGGAGAAATGTTTTTACTTGACTAAAAAAAAAATGCATTTCCTGCAGAAAATGTGCTGAAAGATTAAACCTGAAAGCTAAACGCTGAAATGAGTAGTGTCACTACTACTGGTAGTAATAGTAGTAAGAGTAATTTTAGTAGTAATAGCAGTTGAAATACTAGTAGTAGTGTAAGTTGTAGTAGTAGTAGTGTTAGTTGTAGTAGTAGTAATATTAGTAGTAGAAGTATTTATAGCAGTAGAAATACTAGTAGTACTTTTAATAGTAGTAATATCAGTTGCAGTGTCACTACTATGGGTAGTAATAGTAGTAGTAAGAGTTATTTAGTATTAATAGTAGTTGAAATACCAATAGTAGTAGTATTAGTAATGTAGTAGCATTATCAGGTGTAGAAGTACTACTAGTACTACTCATAATATTGGTACTGGTTGTACTGGTATTTGAAATAGCAATAAGTGTTTCAACAAAACAGCTTCATTCTGAGCTTCATGGGTAAAGATACTCATTGAGGCTTTTATTTTGAAAATATGGAATTGGGTGAGGGGATTGGGAGACAGAAGGCACAGAGAGACTGCAGTGTGTGTCTGAGTAACCACGGTAACGGCACACCTGCGATCATTAACAAGCTGCTCAAAAGGCAGATAGAGCGATTTACCCACAATTCACTCCACAAGTGGACTTTACTACAAAAACCACAAAACGGTTATTTAAAAATAAGGTAATTTTGAGAGACCCAAGACTCTACTTAACTACTACTACTACTACTACTACTGAACGAGTTGACGTGATATAAATGTCCCTGCGGTCATAAATACGTCTCTAATGGCAGTGTACAAAATGTGTACCTTTGTACAAGTGTTTTTTTTAGAAATATGTCAGCAGATTTGTATTGCAGCCTATTGAGCTTGAGAACGGACTTTGTGGGGCCAAAAGTAAACACCGGTGGGCTTGCAGCCACATGAGTAAGACCAGCACAGATAAGATAACAAGCTTAATTGACGTTTGTCAACATTAAATGGTGGTTGTGGCTGAAAGCTTGAAGAAGCAGAAGGAATTGAAAGTTGAAACAGTTTAAGAGGATTTGAAAATAAACTCCATTGGAAAACCATGTTAAAAAAATGAATGATTATTGATTTATATTAATTCAAGCATAAGTAGAAAGCTGAAAAGCCATAGCAGTCCTGAAGGAGCTGAATATTTTAATATTTGAACTGTTTTAATAGCTGAAAGAGTTGAAAGGTACGACAGAACAAATAGAATAAGTTGAATAAAGATTCGAAGAACAATACTTAAGAGAGTCAGAGTGGTAAATATGACAAATGATAAGCAGTGACAACCAAAACACATCGAGGTCTGTAAAAATGAAATATTTTAATTGGTTGCTTGATGATTCATTTTCGCAATCATAAGAAACAAGCGCAGAATGATGCATACATAAGGAGCCAGAGACAGACTGCACACAAATCCAAAAAAACAAGTCTCTATCATACTTTTTAACATCTCTTTAAAAAATAAAATAGCAAGATGGATAAAAAAGGATGGTGTTAGCGACACATGGGTTGCTTTATTGTCACAAAGGAAATGCTGTTAAGACATCAGATATACATAGTGACAAGACATAAAATATTTGAGTATAGCTTTACAGCATTAATTCCTGGAGGAATTTGAGTGAAAGGATACATTTTTCCTTCACACACTGTTTTCTGGTGTGTGGGTTAGAAGGTGGGTGGGTGAGTGGGTTGGGAGGAGGAGGGGGGGCAGGGGGGGATTTTAGAGGACTGCTTCAAGACTGATGGTCACTTGAAACTGGAACGCTGAAAATAAATCACAATGAAGGTAGAGAATCGGTTTTGTATTCTCTGTTTCAACCACTAATGCAGGGGCAGGTATTGGTCTGGAGCCCAAACCCAAGTGTGACTTTGAAAAAGAGATTGTGGGAAACGAGCCTGGAGCTGCAACCGTTTCAAGAAAACAATGAAGCGGAAGTTACTACGAAACCAAAAAAAGGAAGATTATTTGCGTTACTTTGAATGCAACATAAACAAAACAGCTTATTGATACTGGATGCATCCCAATTCCGTACACCCCCTCCCCTCCGTTCCTCTCCTTCCCTCATGAATCATGCCTGATTTGAAAGGAGCTGAACCAGAGAGAGAGACACTGAGGATGTAGTGTGATTAGTTGAAATTTAACAAGGAGTCTTGTAGGCGGCTAAATTGGTGGTTTCTTTTTTCCTTAGACAAAAAAAATAACACAAAATGTCTCCATTTGGATCCAGCAAAATATTTATCCTTTTCCAAGGAAGCTTGCATCCTCCCATTGCCTCCCTGGAGGACACCAGACTTGGACTACATTCATTTTAATTAAATCGTGCAGTGACACGTCTTTTACCCACTTTTACATTCTCTTCTCCAGCTTTTTCTTCTTGGTGTTCCCTTTTATTGCTCTATTTTTTGGGGGAGTTTTATAACATTTCATTGAATAAGAAGTCAGTATCAAATCAACAAATAAAATCAGAATCCTTTTTCAATCCCTTATTAAACCTTTTTTCAGTTGAGAGTAATAATGAACTAAAACTCAAATGGAAGAAAACACTTTACAAATCACACATAAATCGGTATTAATATGACATGTTATTAAATGTTAAATAAATCTGGCACATTGAAATAACAATTGAAGCTTAATTACTTTACGACCCGCTTACCAAGCAACCCGCTCCAAACGCTTTAAGTCCTGATGCAGAACTATTAAAAGGATCGTTTTGAAATATTCTCATGGAAAGGTCGATATGAACCTTGTGCAATCATATTAGATTCCCTACAGACAAACCATTTTGTTTTGTTGAACTACAACCCACACAGTCTATTTCCAGTTATGGAGTCGCATTTCTTCTCTCCAACAAACCATCTTTGCCTCAGTACAGAATCTTTAGTTTTAATTTTTGCCATTACTGAATGAATACCTTGATACATCTTATACAACCGATAATCAGAGCACTTTACTTAATAAGTTCTTCACACATCAATCTGATGGGAGGAGTCAGGGTGGAATATTTTACGTGATTTTTGGGGATTGATAAAATGTTTACCCAGGATGTGTAGATCTGATATTCGTGCCATCACAATAAATGTAAATATAAGATTTAGATGTGTATTTTGTCCTCAGTGGACACCTGTAGGGTCGTTTGGATTCACCCCAAAGGTTTGTATGGGGAACGCCGCGTAATCTGATCACAGAATAATGTATTCTGTTGTCACAAATGTCTACTTTCTGTTTGTCGTTGGGAAAAAACTACCCAGCATGAGGAGGGAGAATACATTCAAAAAGCGATTAGGTTGGGATCAGCGCTAAGAGAATGGGAATACTTTACCAAGCGAGAACCGGCGTGAACAAAAATCCCCTGAGAAATAAAAAAAGTTAAAAACGACTGATTGTGTGAAAACATGGTGCAATCGGAAAACCCAACCCTACTTGAGGAATTTGCCGTAACGAGTAAAGACGTGTCACTCACGCAGATTTTGAAAAGTAGAAATTAGGATTTGCATAATTTCTGGTGACACGATCCTCATGCGCAACTACGTCAGAGGAAGGAGAGAAGACGCGGGGGAGGAAAATGTTACAGGAAAGAATTACTGGCTTGCATCATTGCAACGGTCACACTGCTGTGACATGCAGCTGGAGGGACATTGTTGCCCCGCCCACTCCCCCCCAACCGCCCCCCCCCCCCACACCACGCAAAAAGAAAATGGCAAGATAATTGGTCATGGAACCTGTCATTCGCAAAACTCATCAGGCATCCGCTCTCATTCAGGCAAACTATTTACAAAAGCTTACACATACGCCATTCAAAGGCATACTGTACATACTATTTACACACACACACACACACACACACCGAAACACACTCAGCAACGCATCCACACGAGTAGTCAGAGAAATTACTTTAGAATAATGCAGACGTAATATCTGGCAATAATTATGTTAACTATGATCCCAGTACATAGAGGCACTGCTACCTCGCCCCGTGCGCTCTGCAGGGTAACACCGGTCAGACTAATGAGCCACGGGTCACCGGCGCCGCGTGAGCCCTTTCAGCGGCCGGGAAGGAGGCTTGTTTGAGACCGCCGCTTTTACAACGCAGCTCTTGGTCCGGGAAAAAAAAACAACTGTGAAAATGCCACCCACTGCATTAAGGGCTCACTATTGCCATGGTGACCGGCGGTTCCACGACTCCTTAGCGTTTGTCTGAGTTCAGGTTCCCAAAGTGCTCGTCGCTCGCACAGCACGGCCCCTGGCAACGACCTGCAGCATCCTCCCCTCCTCCTCCTCCCCGCCTTTGGTTTCCTCGCACCTATGCAAGGGTCGACTCTGTAAATTGGCTGTCATTCCCAGCAAGACTGAGACACACAAAATAACAGAGGAGGGAGAGGAAACGTAGTCGTTACGCGACAGGATCTTTGAGAACCTTTAACAGACAAACAGGCCACTTTTAACCCCGCCTCCCTCCCTCGCCGCCCCCCCTCCTCGATGCAAGGCTTCAGTAATGGCTATGGTCCGTTGTACATCGATCCGATCCGTAAGCTTTGACTAATAAAACCAATAAAAATAAAGAAATAAAGGAATCACTTTTCTTTAGGCAGCAATATTGGTCTCAGTGTTATCACAATTCTGCTTTAAAAAAAAGCATAAACAAAAAAGAAAAACAAGTAAAATCATCCTGAAATGAGAATGCGTCATTATTTCATAGCCAAAGCGTGTTCATGGGTAAAATGGGAGATTTTTTTTCTTTTTAAAGCAGAAAGCTTTATTATTACACATCTCAGTCCAACTTTCCTTTGCTTCCTTCTTTCAATTTCGGTCTCTCATGTACTCTATCTTTATTCAGCTCATCCATTAGCATATTTTTATCAGTCCCAGTTCTTTCTGAAATTGGAGTTTCCAGGAAAGTCGACTGGTCCGTTAGCAAGAGTTTGTGGGGATTCACAGACTTAATTTCATTTTCTCATGCTCCATATTAGGCCACAGAGGACGAGAGGAATACAGGAGGAGGAGGAGGGGGGGGGGGGGGGGATGAGACGTTTGGTGCTCCGGAACTCTTCCAAATACCTCTCCGCGCACCAGTCAGTAATGATGACAGGAGAGACCGAGAAACTCAGAGGGGCAGCGAGGCAGAAAGGGCAAGCGGGTGCTAATAACAACCGGGCAGACCTCAATAATGTGAGCTGATGCAATTGACCAAGCCCAGGTCTCCATAGCAACCACTGCAGCTCTCATTCCCGTAGCGCAACTCTCTGTTAAAGTCTGTTTGTTATTTGGGTATTTTCGATGCAGGAGCCACCGTGTGTATGTGCGTGTCTGTGTGTATGTGTGTGTATTTCACATTACATATGCATTTCTGTGTGTTTGTTCTCGTTCGGCTGCTACCAGCGGTTGATGATCTGGTTCATGTAGTCCTCGGTGGGGAGCCTGCTGCCCGCCTCCTCGGCTCTGCCCCCCTCCTCCCGCTCCTCCCTCTCCAACTCTCCGTCCTCCAGAGTGGACACCGAGCTCTGGCGGCCGTGTGAGGGCCACAGGCTGACGCCCAGGCCGAGGCCCTGGTGGCTCTGCTGCATGTGGCTCTTGATGCGCTGCAGCCGCCTCTCCTGTTGCCTGGTGTACTGGTAGCGCTGCTGGAAGAGGTCCCGGGCGTAGTCGTAGAGCTCCATGTCCAGCTCATTCAGCTCCTCGATACGCTGGATCTAACGAGGGGGAAACAGATGACCACTTTGAGTAAAGAGGTGGAATTCTCCTCTGTTTTTGTTCTCATTAGCTGTGGCGTGACTCTCATGTTTGAGTGGATTGTAAAAAAAGAAAAAAAAAAGAAATGAAAAGAAGACATGCAGAGTTGATGGTCCCCCACTGTAGACAATCTAATTACTAATGATCTCAGAGTGGGAAACATTTCCAATCTGGCCAGTGCTGCATTTATGGTGCTTCTTTTAGGACTATAGGAGAGAAGCGTTTCGGTTGTTGTTGCCAGAGCGATCGCTCGACTGGCCCCATTCAAACGAACAATACGACTAAAGTCAATCCTGAGACGGGCTGAGAGAGCGCTCCGTTACATGACATCGGTTGCACTGAAGCTTTACAAGACTTCCAACATGGGAGGGAAATAAAGAAAAAAGAAAGGTGTTCAATGCGATGCAATGCAGCCGGGTTTATTGCTGCGCATCATCTGCTGTGTGTGGACTCAACACGCATGACATTAGGAAACCGGTTGAATCCCAAATTACTAAAATAAATTAGCTTTCAACAGCTCTGCCGGGGAGGGTAATGTAAATATTATTTTCTTCACCTGCTGATGTAATTACATGACATTTTAGAAATAATGAAATACGGTCACAATTTCACGCAGTGCCGTTTTAAGCATTTCATTTGAAAGCTACTCTTCATTTTCAAACTCAAAATGCCACACACAACCTCCCCGACCTGTTAAGACTTGTACCTTGTACTTGTAAGTGATATGTTCTCCTTTTTGTGAAAATAACCACATAACCTACCCACAGCCTCTGTCAGCAGGGCGTATTTTATGTCCTGGTTTTGGTGTTTAAATCAACAGTAAATGTGCTGGGGGATTTCTTTTTTTTTTGCTTGGAATTGAGCCGAAGAACTCCCACACTGGACCAATCAAAGTGTGAAGAATGTGTTTGAAGCTGCGTTTTTTCTCAACGGTGACAGTCAACCCAACTCATTTCACAGCAATGTGAGACCACTGCGTTCCTCTCTAAATTCTCATTTTCTTTTTTTAGAAGATTCTCCTTCTTCGAATATTCTTAATATTTTCTAGTCTGTAAGTAAATGTGCTGCAGCTGCCATGTTTATTTTTGAGAGATATTGGTCATAACAGTCTCAGTACTTGTTCTGTTCAGTGTTTCCCAGGATTTAACTACCTGGTTGCCAAACCTTTTCTGTGAGGGATCATAGGCTCAATCTTTACTAATGCATTGGCCCATATAAAGGTTTTAAGGGTTTAAAATAGAAAATACGTTTAAACCAGAGGTACAATGGATAAAAAGGAAATTCTCAATTAAAATAAGCCCCTTAAAATGGTGTTTTAGTGTATACACTTTGTTACTTTCTTCTGCCTTTCCTGTTTGTTTCGCGCCCATAGAACTGAAAATCATCGTAAGATGACGAACCGTGCCGTTGTCCAAGTCCACGCCGGCGGCTCTGGTGCTGTTGTACTGCATGAAAGGCCTGATAAAGCGCAGCCTGAAGGTTCGTTCGAACAGGAACTGGGTTTTCCTTTGGTACTCCGTCAGACCGAAGAAGGCCATGTCTCGTAGGTTCTTCTTGGCTGACTCCAGGAGAAGCTGGGCCCTCTTCTTCTCTGGAACCGTGGACATGTTGTAGCAGCCCACGAGGCTCAGGTCCGCTAGCATTCGCACCTGTCGACAGGAACAGGAAGTAAAGGAGGGTTTGGAAATCAGGGGGATGGTTATGTGAACGACAATGGAAGAATTTCCAACTTTATATATAGTATTTTTGTTTCAACCTCAGTGCCAGAAAGGCTCTATAAAAAGATTGGAGAGTTAAAGATAAAAAAGGGTTAATTAAACAAGCAGGTGTTGTATTGATACTGAATTGAGCTCAAAGGATGAAGAACAAAACAAATGAATAACTGATTCATTAGCAAACAAGGCCTGCAAATAATTATTTTATGTTATTATACATTATTGTTCAAATTAATTGTGCCAAAAAAGTGCAGATCAAGTTACAAGAAGTAAATGTCTTAAACATCACTTTTAGTTTTTATGGATGTTTGTCTTTTGGGCAAAAGCTGCTTCAATTCTTGTGAATTTATCCAAAATGAGACATCACTTCATCACTCAGTGTATTCTGGAGCTGTTGTGTTGCAGTTTAAGAGCAGCTGCATACTGATTTGGACTCCTGAGGACTTGTGCGTGCGGGTTTGCAACATAAGTCATGGAGCCCTGAGTAATAACAGCCCCGGGCTCCGGTGAGAAACACCGGCCAACTCATTTAGGTGGGAGCCTGAGAAAGTCCAAAGAAAAAAAAAAAAAAAGGTGTGAATTTGAGGTGTTTATTGCTAGCAGGTGAACTCCTGACTCCTTCACATGTGTGCGTGTGTATGTGTGTGTGTGTGTGTGTGTGTGTGTGTTAGCGAGAGAAAGCGGCAGTATCCCCTTACATATGTGCGTCTCAGCTTATGCCTTTCACATTAGATTGGAGTAAATCTGAATTAAAGAGGACATATTTCTACACAATGTGTGTAGAAATACGTTTTTGATAAATTTGGTCAATCAAATAAATGGTTATAACTGTGTGACTTTCCCATTTCCCTTTATTTCTTTATGCATCCTTCTTTATATTTAGTATTTTGGTTTCACCAAGCATCATCTTCATTCCTTGTGGTGGTATTTTCCACTGGGTCTGGAGGCATGAAGCTAGCCGGTAACGTCTGGAACAGACCGAGCGGGAGAGAAGTCCGCTCGACGGCAGAGACGCGCGCCAACAAGGTGGCCGTGACGAATCGCAGCATCGCGGCTGGAATCAGCCGCTCTTTTCAGTGTTGGCGTTGAAAGAAGAGTCTTTGGCGAGAGAAGCCCAAAAAGCAAATATGAAAGGCAGAGGATTTGTGGGCCAAATCTGTGGCATCCTTTTACCCGACTGCGCTGGCTTCGCTTCAGAGGGCCGTCAACGTGACAACCCGGCCTTTGAAGCTCACAGTGTGTGTGTGTGTGTGTTTTTCCTCTGCGTACCTGTCTGTTGTTGGCCAGGTTGTAGGGGCAGTCCATGAACTGCTGCAGGGTGCACCCCGACCAGTCGGAGCCCTCGTAGCAGGAGGGCAGCTCCTCGGGCGTGGGGGTCCGTCCATCGCACATGTGCAGGGAGGTTTTCCACGTGGCTCCCCGCTGCACATGGCGCCACTCGCTGAGGTATCGAGACACCGGGTCTCTCAAGAGGGTGATGTAGTAGAACTTCCTGTTGGTGAGGAGAAATGTGTCAATCCTCTGGTGTCCATGTGGTGGCGCTGTTTACAACGCTTTACCGCCGGTCAGCCAGAGGCCGACGTTGCCGTACTCAACACCAGAATATTTGTGGTAATAGTACAGCTAATAGGTCGAACTACTCATGGGGAAGCAGAGGCGTTGGGGGAGCGAGTTGATTTGTCGTGCAGATGATCAGGACAGCACCTCGGTCACACTGCACGCTGGGACAAGCGCATCTCACTCATGCTACACGCATGTCCACGCTGCAAACGTCCTTATGTCTCAGGATGGGAAACACACACACATCCTTCGTCTTACAAGTGTTTGCTTTGCCTGTGAGAGATGACTCATCTGAGATGTGGACGGGACTGTTTCTGTGGTGTGTGTGTGTGTGTGTGTGTGTGTGTGTAACGTAATGGTGCATAGCACAGTTCAATGTCTCTCCAGAGGGGACACTCCCACCAGACCAAAGACCTTTCCAGGCCTTCACACTCCAGCTAATTACTGCAATCTTATCAATCAACACATCCTCGTTAACCACACACGCCCTCACAAAACCCGAGTGAGTGTTTATGTGTAGTGATGTGTCCGCAGTGTGACTGGCAGCGATGTTACGTGTTTGTCTGGCCAACAAACACATGCCGCCGGTCAAAAATACACACGAGGCACACCACGCCGTCTCCTCTCCTGGGCTTGCATCACTTCAGAGGAATGTTTTTGGAGAGAATTCTGTGTGCTGACAGGACTCCACGAAATGGCCCGGTCCACACAAGCCGCCTCACATATACGCAGACTTCCCGCTTCCATCACCAAATCATTGGCTCCACACTACAAAGCTCACCCGGGGAGAGAGGAGGGGTCGCCGGGAGGATACAAAGCCCCGACTGTCACACAAACAGCGGCAGTGTCTGAGGTTTTTTTTTGTGTGGCTAAACCTATGAAAATGAGTTGGTGGCAACAGGGAGATTCTGGACAACTAAAGAACTAAACCCTAAATCTAGCAACGGCCGAGAGATGCACAATGAAACAACTCAAAATCCAAATCCAGCAGCGGCACGCACAGATCCTGACCCGGGCAATGAAACAAGCCAACCCCCGAAACAAATCCGGGACATCCTGTGCAACAAAACAACCACACCCTGAATTTAGCTGCAGCGCGGAGAGATGCCTTCAAATGAAACAAATCTAGTAGAAGCAGCGGGATCACGGACAATGAAACGACTAAATCCAGTGGCAGCTTGGGAGATGCCAGGCAACGAACCAAACAGCCCCTCAATCCTGGAACAGCAGGGGATCACAGCTATAGAAAGAAGTATCTAAACTCTCAATCCCATCAACCTCAACCTAAAATCTCATGCCCGATCTTATCAAAATCAGGGGACGGGAGCCGCACGGCCAAACTGGAGCCTGCAGAGACCGGCGCACATTATGGAGATTCCTGTGATGACATTATCAGGATTCCTAACACTCCCCAGAGTGCTGTGTGTGTGTTTCTGGGACTACGCCTATTAAATCAGTGATGACATCCCCCCCCCCCCCTCTTGCCTTCTTTTCTACTGAAAAAACTCAGAACTGTTTGGCCCTTGGAACAGAGACGGGTGGAGAGGACAGAAGACTAGGGGGCAAAGCAGAGAGAGAGAGAGAGAGAGAGAGAGAGAGAGAGAGAGAGAGAGAGAGAGAGAGAGAGAGAGAGAGAGACTGCACGGGAGAGAATTTCTATTAGTTTTCTAATACTGTGAAAGCAGTGAGGGCCCCCGAGCCCCAGTGATTTATCAAAGTTATGGCTCCCGCTATAATAGAGGGCTCAGGCCATATTACCAGGGAAAAATAAATAAATAACATGCACACCAACACACACACACACACACACACACACACACACGCATACATGCAAACCCAAATAAATGGTCTTAAACGGCATTCCTGCCTGTCGTGTCTGCTGGGTCGGGCAGACTGCCGGACCGGTGCCTTGGAGACTTTCTCGCCTTAAAGCCTAATGATGTCTGGCCGTATACTCGGATCTCTTAGTAATGATGATTCAAACCCCCCCCCCCCCCCCTACACACACACACACACACACACACATGTACTCACTCACCAGTAAGTCCCTCCCTTTAACCCTATCACACAGAGATACGCTCCGTGCCACTGACCTGCCATTCTTTTTTCCTTTGCTTTTTCTTTCGCCACATGTGATACTGCTTATAGTCGGAGGGCCTGTGCACTTGTCAAATTAACTTCAAAGCGAATACACAACGCTCAATCTCTCACCGTCGAGGTTTTTAGCACATCATCCTCGGGCTGAAGGCAGGAATTTGCAGTCAGGGAGCAGCAGCTTGACGGCGGCCCCCCCTTGCAGACTACGTGTGATATATTTTTGATAAAAATGTCCCCTGTATGCCTTTTGGTGTTATCAAATGGAAGAATACCTTTCAAACACCCTCGGAAAAAAAAGAAGAAGCTTAAAACCGCATTATTCCGGTGTCACAGATGTCAACTAAATCGGCGAGATTTGTCCCACCGGATCGGCGGCGTTTATAGCAGGTTGATAAAAAAAGAAAAAAAAGCTAGTGTTTGGCAGCGAGGGGTTTGACAAGCTTTCTTCTGGGCCGGTGGGACTGGGACTGATCAAACAGTTAGGTCTTTTATCTCTCACCTTGTCGCTCTTATTTTTTATATTTATTTATTTTTAGTATCCCGATTACTATAACAGAATAAAAAGCCAAGGCTAGAAGGACGAGATATACATTTAGAGGGTTTTCTCACGTTATTATAACCTGTCACACATCTCTGTGTTTACATGCTCCATAAATAGGTGAGAATGAGAAGCTTGGAGGGCTTTTCTGTCTGCAGAGTGCAATTATCCCAGGAGACAAAGAATCCAGAAAGACATTTTTTTTTGTATGACCCGTGGTCAAAAGTAGCTTTGACCCAATAACAAACTAGTTTTGTCACTAGAAAAAAACCCCTATGAGTCCAGTGAGTAAATGTGAGCTCGCTGAGCGTTATCAAGAGGAAACACATCGGGCCTGTTGTTGTTCCTCAGAGCTTCGTAGCCAGTTTCCTGTGGCTCACAAATCACCACTTTTGTAACCTCCACCTTCTCTCTTTAACCTCTCTTCCTTTTCCCGTTTCAATCGCTTTCTTTTCATTCCAGCATCTCTCTGTGTCTCGGCCTTGAGTGATGTTCTTGAGTGGGGCGAGTTAAAAACATGCTTCCCATCAGCATTTTTAATTAAGGTTTCCTGTAAATGAAGAGTGTTTTTGGAAGCTTTCTTCATATTACAGAGAAGCAATAAAAGGAACAGGAGCACAAGAAAAAACGGAGGAGTTCTGTGGCGATGCAAAGTCTTTCTTTGTCGAGCGAGGGGGGAAAATGTTGAGATGGCCGGTTGAATATAAGGTTTGCGCTCGCAGTCTGATTCACTGACCCAGAACCCACATGGTGACGCCAGCAGCATCCCTCTGCGCGCAGCGGCAATGATTAATAATAGTACACGGATGTTCGTTAAAAGTAGATCCACTCAACAACGCCCCTCTTTCCCACCTCTAAAAACAGCCCCGAACGCCAACAGCTTGCGTGTAAAAAGAAGTAGAAGAAGAGCTTCATTTGTGTTCATTTGTGTTTCTTCATTTGACGAACAGCCAATCAATGGCAATTGCTTTTACACGCACCAAAATCCATACGCAGAATCTTTTTCAAACCCAACAATTTTCTTCCGGAGTACAGCGTCAGTGTGCGTGTGTGTGTGTGTGTGTGTGTGTGTGTGTGTGTGTGGTTTTACTTGCAGGACGCGGCCTGGAAGTCCCACACATTGTGCCTTCCCCCCTTTTTGCTTTCTGAGGAATGGTCCCTGTGGAATCTACTAGCGGTAAATGCTGAGGAACCCATCTGTGAGTGTGTGTGTGTGTGTGTGTGTGTGTGTGTGTGTGTGTGTGTTTAGAGAAGGGAGAGTGTGGGGAGACATGTAAGGACTTGAATTTCAATAGACTAAGTCTTGAGGAAGTCTATTGACTTCCTGCTTCTCGTTTTCACAGTTACGCACGTCATCCTTGATTTTCGCACGGACGCACACTCAACCCCCCCCCCCCACACACACACACACACAAAAAAAACTGGTCAGGTCAGTTTTGCACCGGCCCTCTCGCATTAGAAAATAAACAGGCGTGGCTGCGAGCAGCACCGAATCACCGGTGACCTCTGGAGACTAATCCTCCCTCCTCCGCTTCCCCGTGTGTCGTCTCGTCCTGCGTCTCCTGCTAATGACGCATCGAGACGGACGGAAATAGACCCTCCGGTTCAGTCTCTCTCTCTCGCTCTCTCGATCAATAACAGCCTCGGGATTCAGACGGCCCGCCTCGGCAGTTTGGACTTTAAACAAAGAGAGACAAGTGAAAAAGCAGAGAGCGACCGAGGAGCCAGAGGCGGCCGGAAAGGGGGGGACGCAGAGGGGCCACGCCGGAGCGAGGCGCACCTCCAGGAGATTTGGGGGAAATTCTTCGTTCTCCCCTCAGCTAAGAAAAATAATGCGGTGCCAAGAAGTTATGCTGATTTTTTGGGTGTTCACGTTTCCAATACATCATAACATCCAGACGGCGATGTGCAGATTTCTGGGTGCAACATGATCTTCTGTGTGCTGATGTGGCCGAGCGGTGGGACTGGCACACCAAGTGCACCAAGTCTCCTTTTTATAATGAAATCAAATTTAATGCAATAACTACAACTGTAAATTACTTCTTGTATGAAAATAGGCTCGTCACAGTTTTCCAGAACATAAAGTGACATCCTGGAATTGCTTGTTTTGTCCAACTTAAAAGTTAAAAATCTTTGAGAAGCTGGCTTCTGGGATTATAGACTGAAATGATTTATAAATGACCAGAGTGGTTTCTGAATATTTTTCGGTGAAGTTAATTTTTAAACTTGTTTATAAGAAGCAACATTTAGGGAAAAAGATGTTTGCTATTTTGGCTTTTGAATTTACACAAAATGGT